TTTCCTTAATCCTGCAGTCTTGGACCTGAGACTAATCTCTTGCCTTTGGGCCACCTAAGTGAGACAGAAATCCCTCTCTATTTTTAACAGCTCCAGAGGCAAGCCCTCAACATCTCTTGGTAGTCTGTTTGATAGTTTCTGAAAACTCTTGGCAAGATCAACTAGAAAACAGGCCCTTGTGACCCAGAGTTTCTAAAAAGCTCTCTTGACAAATTGACAAATCAAGAGGAAAAATAAAGTCAGAGATTGCCCTGCTTCTGGAAGAACCGAGTCATCTACAGCTGAAGGAGTGGATTGTAAAGAACAGAGGCCAGCCTCCTGGAGAGCGGACAGCACGGCTCCCACTCGGGGAACTGAGGAGCTCTGTCATGCCCTAGAACATCAGAAGCTTGAAGTACAAAGGATCATTTGTGCTGTGCCCTGAGAATAAACTCCATGAAGTTATTCACAAGAAATGATTGTTGTCAAGGTCTTGTCATTGGAGTTTCCCCATTTCGTGGTGTCTAGAACTGATAACCCTTGAGATCATGGAGGCACTTAACATCAAGGAGGCACGTTAAGAAAAGAGTGGGAGGACAAAGACGTACAGGGCAGAAAGAATTAGAGTAAAACGTGCTTGCTGCAGGTGATGAGACAGAGCTTATAGGGAAGCTTATGGGGAATGTCAAGGGTCCAAATCTGTGAATCATGTTACATTTTAGGGATGGCACTCTACTAAATATAATGTATGAGAAATAATGTTTTAAAGGATTTTTAAGAATACTTTTAGTCATTCAAATGTTTATTGAGCAGCACCTAGGTGCCACACACTAGGCTGGGAATAGGGCATGGTGGCACATTCTTTTTTTTTTTTTTGAGATGGAGTTTCGCTCTTGGTACCCAAGCTGCAGTGCAATGGCACGAACTCAACTCACTGCAACCTCTGCCTCCTGGGTTCAAGCAATTCTCCTGCCTCAGCCTCCTGAGTAGCTGGGACTACAGGTGTGCACCACCATACCCAGCTAATTTTTGTATTTTTAATAGAGACGGGGTTTCACCATGTTGACCAGGATGGTCTCGATCTCTTGACCTCGTGATCCACCCGCCTCGGCCTCCCAAAGTGCTGGGATTATAGGCGTGAGCCACTGTGCCCGGCCGGTGGCACATTCTCTTGAGGAATGAACAGCTTATTGGGGGAGACAAGTGTGAGCAAGCAACTGTGAAATAGCATTAAAGGTGTTAATAGAGGCAAGGGACTTACCATGAGGAGAGAGAAAGAGAAACTTAGAAGAGCAGCCGCAGAGAAACTGTTGCAAGTCTGGGGATTTCATTTTAGCTACAGATAGTCCTGCATTGGCATTTGCAGACTGAATATGCATAGGTGATAAAAATCCCCAGTGAATAACGCAAAAGGTCCCTGTCATGAGGTAATTTGCTGGGACACAAATTTAAATGGGGCTGCCAGGAGGCCAGAGCGTACTTGCCAGCCACTCAACTAGTGCATGACCACTCCCAACACTGGCATCTGTGTCCCAGTGCCACTTAGCTCTCCTTCCTTTCTCATCGACATCTGCACAATAATTCTCATACTGTGATCAATTTTTTTCTTTGCAGAGTCGGGGAAATAGGGTGTTAATAAGGTAAAGATATAAGGTAATGAAGTAAAGAGTTTATTTTAATGGCAAAATATATTTAAATAGCTTTAGAAATTACTTTGGCCACATATTCACAGAACTATTAAGAGTCTGAAAAGATTCTTTACATTTTTGTTACACTTTACTGAACTTTATGGTGGAAATTATATGCCATGATGACATTCATGATTTTGGAGACTCACCAAGGTCATGGATGAACCCTTTTAGAATGTCAAAGGTCCAGATCTGTGAATAATGTTACATTTTATTGGCTTTACTAAATATAACAATATCTTATTTTAAGTTTGAAAAATAAGATATTCTTCCTTATGTGATTTCCCTATATTTTGGGAAAGATTGCCATTCTCCTTCCTGTTTATGAAGGCTTAACATGTCACACCAGAAGACAAAGGAGTTATTTATCCATAAAACTGCAGCCTGACAATTCAAATTAAGAAAGATAACTACATTCCCCAATAAAATGCCTTCCTTCTGGTCTATTGCCTGGAACCTAATAACCACTGAAACTCAAACTCTAACCCCACCCCAGCCCACCCCACAAATACCTCCAAGCACCTCGAACTTAACATAACTTCACCCACAATCCCAAGTTGCTTCCACTCTGTCTCCTTGTTCAGTTACCAAGTAAATAAATTTACCTCCTAAGTGATTCTCAAATGCAAATGCAGTCAGGCCTCTCCAGCCCCACAGCACCACCCTAGCTAACAGAAGGTCAAAATATCTGTCATCACAATATTCTGAAACTCTGCCTCCTCTATTCTCTATATTGATGCAGAGTAATTTTTCTCAAAATGCATGGCTTGCCTTGTTTGGCTTCCACTGGAGTTTAAGATATGGTCCTATCAAAAGAACAGATATTGGGCCCTACTAAAGGGTGAAGGGTAGAAGAAGGCAGAGGATTGAAAAAAAACTACCTATTGAGTACTATGCTTATTACCCGGGTAATAAAATAATTTGTACACCATACCCCTATGATATACAATTTACCTATATAACAAACCTGCACATGTACCTCTGAACGTAAAATAAAAGTAAAAAAAACAAAATTATTCACCAAACCCAGTGATCAAGGTTAATATCTCCAGTAACAAGTTGTATTGCTAGCACGTACCCCCGACATGATGCAACGAGAGGAGCACTTCATCTTCATGGTAGTCATCCCCAAAATCCAAAATCCTGGTCTGATCATGAGGAAACATCAGATAAATGCAAATGAGGAACATTCTACAGAGTATCTAACCAGTCCTCTTTAAAAATGTCAAGGTCATGAAAAACAGAGAAAGACTGAGAAACTGTCACAGATTGAGAAGACTAAGGAGATGTAATGACTAAATGCAACATCATATCTTGGATTAGATTCTAGGAAGAAAAGACATTAGTGGAAAAACTAGTAAAATCAAAATAAAGTCTGTAGTCTAATTTTAAAAAGAAAAAAGATATGGTCTATCAACAATCAACTGATGCTTGGACAGTGATTCTGATGTCCATGGTCGACACATAAGACTTTGAGAAATGCCTTGACTGAGTTTCTTCCCCCAGAATAGATGAGTTCTTTCATACCTCTACGCATTTTGCATTTGCCAAATGCTGGTCCTGTACTACCCATTTACCTTTCTCTTTTCGGTGAGACTCTTTCTGTTAGTATTCAATTTAAATGTCACTGCTTGAGCAAAGTCTCTTATAAATCTCTCAGTGGCTATCCTGTCTGGTCTTTCACAGCACTGGATACACAGCTCCACTAAAGCAGGTGTCACAGTTTACTATAATAACTTGTTAACAGGTTTATTTTCTCCAGTGATCCACGTGCTCTTGTCCAACTTCGAATACCTAGTACCTAGCACTATGCTTGGCTCCTGCCAGGTCCTTTGCTGAATGAAAGGACCAGTGATTGAGGTCTGCGGCTACATGGTAAAATGAGAGAGATGAGTCATCAAAGGGAAAAACCGCTTTTTTGTTAGCTATAAAGTGAACCAAGGTGTCAGAACAGTTAAAATAAGGATGAAGGGTGCTTTTCGATCTCAATCAATTTTCAAATTACTCGTCACACCTGTCCTAGCTAAAGACTAACTCTAGCACCTCCTGCGGCCTGTTGGTCGGTATTTCACACTTGGGCAGCAGATCCAGCAAATGTTCAATGATCGGAGAATAAATACCTAGATGCTGTACGCTTTGAAAATATAAATGTAAGAAGATGCCTAGTAAAAGCATCTGCTAAATATTTTTCCTGTTTGGCACATTAGACTGCAGTAGGAGACACACGACCGTGGTCATACTGTACACAATGCCCAATGTCTGCCAAAACTCTGGCGTATGGGTGACTTAGTGTTGTAGTTCGGAGGGATTCTTCCGGTACCCCCACTACACACAATGGTGGAAAGAAGAGCTTCCAGAACAAACCCAGTCAGGCAAAGAGGCAAATCCACTGCATTTAGTAACATTGCTGGAGCCCGCACCTCACCCTTCCTGAAGGTAGGATGCTAAGAGGGCTCAAGCCTAAATCTAATCCAACAAGCTATATTCTGAATAACGACCAATCTCTGATAAAGCTTTTCCCCTAACCCTTCTGCTGCCCCACTCATTCCACAGCCCCTACTGGGCTACCGAGTTCCACTCTGGACAGCGCCGCGCCCTGCTCGGCCCCACCCACCCGGTGGCGCTTGGGCCCACCCCCCTCCCCCACCCCCACCCCGGGGCGCCACCTACCAGGGCCCCGCCCCGCCCGAGCCCCACGTGCCGGCCCCACCCCGGCGCTAGCGGCCCTTTAAATACCCCCACCCTTACACATTACCCCCCCCCCCACCCGGACGGCAGCCGGAGAGGGACAAAACTCATGGCGTACAGCCAGTTTCCTCCGCGGAGAACGTCCTGTGCCGCCCCAGCCGGTGGGGCTCTCCACCCCGGGCCGCAGCCTCGTGGCGCCCCCCGAGCCGGGGCGGCCGGACCGAGGAGTGTCGGCGCGGTCCAGCTACGGGGCGGGGCCGGCGGGAGCTCCGGTCGCCGCCGCCGCTGCTGCCTCCGCCTGCCGCTCGGGCCGCCCGCTCGCCCGCCGCTGGGTGCGCTGCACGCGGGGGGCAGCCGCGGTGCAGAGGTTCATGCAGCGGCGGCGGCGCCGGCGGCTGCTCCTGCTGCCGCCGCGGAGGCAGACAAACCGGGCGCTGCCGCCGCCGCCCTCCCCCGGCTCCATGCCGCCGCCGCTGCCGCCTCCTCCTCTCCGGCGAGGGGCGGGGGGCTCCGGCCCGGGGTGGGCACCACTCCTCGCAGCGCCGCTCCCCTCCCTGCCCTCCGCCCCGGCGCTGGAGCCGGCGAGGGCACCAGCCGCCTCCTAGGAGTGCACCCTCCGCCCGCCCTGCCGGTGCGAGGGGCGGGCGTGGGCGGGCGTCGGGGCAGCGGGGACCCCACGCGGCTGCAAGAGGAGGGGGCTTCCCCAAGGATGCCCGGCGGCGGCTCCCCGCTCCTAGGTGCGAGCTGAGCCTGACCGGGAGCTAGCGGCGCGTAGCCATGCCGGCGTGACGGGCGCCCCCGGCTGCCCGCGCGGGCCCCCGCGCTGCCCCACGCCGCGCTGTGCCGGCGCCGGGCCGCAGGATGGGCTGTATCCAAAGCATCACCTGCAAGGCGCGGATCCGGCGCGAGAACATCGTGGTGTACGATGTGTGCGCCACCATCGACCAGTGCCCTACGCGCATCGAGGAGACCTCGCCCATCGTCCTGCGCTACAAGACCCCCTACTTCAAAGCCTCCGCCCGCGTGGTCATGCCCCCCATCCCCCGCCACGAGACCTGGGTGGTAGGCTGGATTCAGGCGTGCAACCAGATGGAGTTCTTCAACACCTACAGCGACCTGGGCATGTAAGCGACCCGCTGCGCGGCACGGGAGCGGAGTCCGCGCCCCCGGCTTTGCTCGCCACCTTGACCCCCCTCCCCAGCTCCTTCCTACTGCTGTCCCCATCCTCTTTCTAAACCTTCCTCCCGCCTCCTCTCCCACCTCCCTCCTCCCTACGCTTTTGTTTCAGTGACAGGGCGGGTGTAGGGAGGCTCCTCGCGAAGGCATTTTCTCGTGGTTTGCTTCTGACTCCTCAGAATCTACGCGAGGAGAGCGGTGCGGGCCGGGAAGAACGCGACAAGGGGGGTTCGAGAGGCGGAGGTGGGGATGTCTGGCGAGTGCCCGGCGAGTTTCAGGGCGCCGTCTGTGCTTTGTGCAGCTCCCCGGGAAGAGTTTGGGGGAAACCATATAGGAGCGGAGTGGGGTGCCGGGGGCGCAAAGGCTGTGCGGCGCGTCCTTTGGAGAAACGCGAGCGGGCTTGGAAGAGCAGGTCCCGGGCGTCCGAGCTGGAGTTGGTAGTTCTGCCTTGCCCTCTCGACTGCTGAATTCAACCCTTGTCCCCCAGGCCAGGGAGCCCGGAAGCGTTTCCGTCTGGAACAGCAAGTCCGGCAGAGTTGCCTCTCTGTCTCCGCGCCCCCTGGACCGGTTCTGGTGGGGAGCTGGGAGGCACCAGCTGCGTCCCGGCCAAGCAGGGCGGATGGCCTTGTGCGAGCAGCCTCCGGCTGGCGCGGCGCGGAATGTTTCTTATGCTAAGGGAAAGGATGGTTCCCCTCTCTGTCTAGGGTCCTTACTTTTCAAAACTTTCCTAATTGCGACGCTGGAAGGGATTCCCCCGGCGCCCACCGCCGAATTCTGTCGGCGTGCTGGGAGCTCTCCAACTTTCAGCAGCGCGGGTTGCTGCGCGCCGGTCTTGGCTGCTGTGGTGGAGACCCAGGATCGCCGCGGCTGCTTAACCGCCAGGGGCCGCAGACTGCGGGCGGTCGCGTCCGGGACTTTTGTATTTACTAAATTTTCGTAACTCCCCACCTGCCTCATTTCGGAACTAGACTCTGAGCAGGTGGTAACGACAATGGCTAAAAGGTTTAGGGCCTGTCTTCTACCTCCTGTTACAATGTAGGTCTAGAACACCTTGATTAGCCTGCAGCCTACAGGGAAACCTTTTTTCTGAAAATTCAACCTCATTTCACTTATTAATCTAAAACTCTAGAGCTCCCAAGGTTCGCCTATTTAATATGGATATGGGGTGGGGGAGTTCCCATTTTAAAAGGTCAAATCCTCTTTTTAGCAGCAGTTTGCAGGCTTTTTACTGCACTCTGAGAGCATGTAAGTTAACACTAGTCACAGGCGCTAAAAGAAATTTTGACAGGTCGTTTTGTTTTTTCCTCCCAAAGATTTTGCACTTTTCTCTTTGAGCACAAAAGCTTAATGCTAGAGAAAACTCGATTTCTAGTGAAGAAATGTGGCGCCCAGTTTCCAGTATGCCTCCACACATTGTATTCTTCTTTCTGGAAGATAGCTAGATGTGAGAAATGGGGGATATGTTATTTTGGGTGAATCATGACATTTAAAAACAGACACGCCCTCAAAAGAATGATTGTATGTGAACACATGTGTCTCTTAAAACTTCTTTTTGAAGTAAATCCATTATTTCCAGCCAAGTCAAAGAAAGCCACAGGCAGGGCATGAGCCCTCCCTCTCATTTCCTTGGCCTCAAGGCCTCACTGATGGCAGTGGATAATCTTGCTGGAGGACAGTAACTGCTCTCCCCAACAGTCTGGGGCCCCTGGTAGAGGAGGCCAGGAATGACTGTGCAGAAGCAGCCTCACTTTTCCCAAGACTGGGCAGCAGAGCTCTCTGTTGCCTCAAATCTCTTACAAATCAGTAAATCAAAAGCAAACATATAAAAACAATTCTTTCCGTAAAACTTATTTTACCTTAGGAGAAGTCAAGTTGAGATACAAACAGACATGGTAGTTGAACTTCATGGAATCTATAGGGAAGTTATGTCCTCACTGGAATTAACTTTAATGGATGTGAATCGGTGAGAGGACTCCTGACCCTTCCCCACTGAATCCTTGCATTTGGGATTTGGAAAAGTGGTTTTGTTTTTAAACTGTGGCTTTTGGTGTTTTAAGATTCTTGGTTTTCATGTAGATGTAGGAGAGCAAAAATAGACCCCAAAGAAATCATAAAGCGTATTATTACAGATTTGTGTCTGCAGTCTACCTGTCTCTTCATGGTTGAAATAATTGCTGTGTGTTTAAAGCCACTTTGGAGCCCAGATTTGAATGAACCAATTTCCACAAGATGTTTATTCCCTGAAAACTTTGCCAGTGTAAACTTTTTGAAGGGAACTCATATTGCATGAAAGCTGCTGCAGTGTATTAGTTGTTATGTCTACTTAGCCAATATCTGAATTGTAAAAAACACCACGGAGTTAATTTTTACCCCTGTGCAGTGTTCTGTCATGTAAACCATGATGTGGTGAAAGGGTTTGGGTTAGAAAACACCTTTTCAATATTTTGAAAAGGACTGTGCTGGAGGAAATCCACAGCCTAAAATGGCGAGAAACTTCTGTCTGCAGGATTGAAAGAAAGCCTGAGGTTTTGTGGCTTAAATTTTAAACTTTTCCAGGAAGGAGTAGGCTTTTAAAAGCACATTAGAAATAGTTGATGGCCATGATGGCCAGAGCTGAATTTGAACTTGAACTCATTGCCGTGGCACTTCCTCAAATGACTCTATAGAAACCAAGGGGGTAAATAGTTGTGCACCTATTTATTTCTCATTTGGTCCTGGTGAATCTTGCTCGTGCAGCCTTGAACAGACTGCTGCAAGTCTTCATGCCTGGGGGAGGAAGGGCTCCTGACTTTCTCAATCATCCTGTCAATAAGCAAACATTTACCAAGTGCTTCTGCTGTACAGGCAGCACTAAAGAAAACAAAGGAATATGCACACAGTCTCACTGCTCCTCGTTATAGGATGACACATGCAGAGAAAAGCAGTGCTCTTTGGCAGTGTGGAAGAAATGCCTAAGAGAGAGCAGGGGCAGGCAGGGTGTTCTAGAGGTGAGTGGACCCAAGGTGGACTCTGAGGTATGGGAAATAGGTAGGCAAGGACGGGGGACTAATTCCAAAGGGGAAAACCAGCAAAAATATGGAGGTAGGAAAATAGAAGGTGTTTTAAGGGGGCATAAGTTGGTTGGAGTGTTCAAGAAGGAGGACAGTAGGAGATGAGGTTTGAAAGGTAGGTTGGGACCTGTTGAGTGGGACCAGAATAACACAGTCTGGAAAAGGAAAAGAGTAAAGTCAGATTTCTTGACCAGACAGAGGATGTCAGGAAGCCCTTCATACCTTCTTTATACCTCTTGAGTATGCAGAAGTTTTCCAACAGAGGTGGAAGACAGTTGATGATGGAACAGTTTCAAATGTTGGAGTACGACACTGAGGAGGTGTCCTGAATAAGATTTGAACAAGGAATGGGGCTCTTGGGCCAGGGATGGATGAGGTGAAGCTAAGGTCAGGGAAAGCCGATAATAGCTAAAGGCCCTTCTCATTCTCTTTGAGTCTTCTGGGGCTGTAGGGAAACTCTCCATGGTCAGCCTAGGGCTGATAGTATGGAAACCATCTCAGCTGCCAATACGGAAAAGTTTGGCCTGTATGAAACTTTAGGAAGTCATAGCTTACTCTTTTCCTTCAAGAGACAGCTCCTGCCTGTCCCTCTATTCCTCCTTCAGAGCCAAGGTTATTGAGGATTTAACTGTACCTACTACCCACCTCTGTTGCCTGTTCAGTTTAGTCCAAGTTGATTTCCTTTATTCTTTTTTTATTTATTTTTTATTGCATTTCAGGTTTTGGGGTACATGTGAAGAACATGCAAGATTTTTGCATAGGTACACACATGGCAGTGTGATTTGCTGCCTTCCTCCCCTTTACCTATATCTGGCATTTCTCCCCATGCTCTCTCTCCTCAGCTCCCCACCCCCCACTGCCCCTCCCCTATTTCCCCCCAACAGACCCCCTCCCTGTGTCCATGTGTTCTCATTGTTCAACACCCGCCTACGAGTGATAACATGCGGTGTTTGATTTTCTGCTCTTGTGTCAGTTTGCAAGCTGATTTCTATCGGTTCTGAAACTACTCTTGCTAAGTTCGTCTGTGACTTCTATGTTACCAAATCCCTCAGACGCTTTTGAGAGACTCACCATTTCAGCTGCATTCCTTGTAGTTGACAGCTTCCTCTGTCTGGAATCACTCCCATCTTTTAGCTTCCATGCTACTTTTCCACTGTTCCTTTATTTCCATCTTATCTCAAAATAAAGTTTATCGGGACTTTTTTCTTCTGGTTCTATGCTTTCCCTGGGTAATTGCATCCATCCTAATGGTGGGAGGTAATCTCTATGATACACAGTCAACTCCAGTCAAGATGTGTGTGTGTCTTTGCACAATGAAAGACATCTCAGCCTTAGGGCATCGAAACCCAACTCTCAATCGCCACTATAGCTCCCACCCAAAATCTGCACCTTTGCCATTCCTCATCTTAGTAAATAACACCTCCATTCTTTGAGTTGCTAAAGCTAAACCACCTGTGTGTCTTCCTAGATATTTCCCCACACATCCAGCCCATCATTAAATCCTACTGGTCCCATCTCCAGAATATATCTGTAATCCAGCCACCACTCTCTCTGTCTACTGCTACCATCTTAGGACATGTCACCATCAACTGTCACCTGTTCCTGCAGAGACTTTCTTTTTTTTTTTTTTTTTTTGAGACAGAGTTTTTCTCTTGTTATCCAGGCTGGAGTGCAATGGCGCGATCTCGGCTCACCGCAACCTCCGCCTCCTGGGTTCAGGCAATTCTCCTGCCTCAGCCTCCTGAGTAGCTGGGATTACAGGCACGCACCACCATGCCCAGCTAATTTTTTGTAGCTTTAGTAGAGGTGGGGTTTCACCATGTTGACCAGGATGGTCTCGATCTCTTGACCTCGTGATCCACCCACCTCGGCCTCCCAAAGTGCTGGGATTACAGGCT